AATAAAGGATATATACGGCTGCGTGCACATATGAGGGTTTCTAGTAGTATATATATCTGTAAGTGTGATTACGGAGTTTTACATACAGAGCTCAGTGCGTACGGCGTAATATAGACATAGAGCATTCCTTACTTGTTTTTAGTGGGCATAACCTTCAATGAATTTTGGCACAACCCTAAATGAATTTATGTATACCTTAGCGCTGTAAGATAGACGTGTGCACACATGCTTGATACATACGACGACATAAAATACGAACTACTCCATATAACTATATGATCGAAATCCATTAAATGTACTTGTAGATACCTCTATATGCTGAGACCACTGGAACATGGCGATCCAAAGGCGGCCCCCACTTTATACGAGTCGCAAACGCGACACGCACATAGTAGGCGCGGCGAAGTGAACGATCAGAGTGACCAACATACCCTCATTGAGAACGACAGCACAGGTGAGCTCGTGTGTGTGTGTGCATTGACTGTCATGTGTCATGCCGTGCATTGTACAGGCAGAATGGTTGAAAAACAGTTATAAGCGCAAGGGACTCTCAATGCGAGTGACCTGTACGTTTGCGTGTGTGCATTCGAAATCATGCACCATGCAGTAGGTTGTAGGTGACGCAAATCAATCGCGAAGGTCAAGTACTGGTGAGTCTGCAATCGTGGAAAAAAAGGGCCTGACTTGGTGTCTTTATACGTTTGCGTTTGTTGTACATGTACCCTATTGAACTTTGCGCGAGCGTGTAGGGAGAAGTTTGTAATGAGAAATTAGAGTGCCTCTGTAGAATTCTTCTCTTTTCAAGTAGGTAGGGGTCATATTATACACAGCTAGATTTGCTTATCCATTTCTGTGTGATCCTTCGTATCGGCGTGTTTTTTATGTATCTGATTTTGCATGTGTTCCGCTGGCTTCTGTGTATCGAGTATCATGCTTAGTCACGAAAGCACAAATCCTGGCGCATCTTTGAATAGCACGAGTTTGTCATCTATCGCTCGCTATATCGAGATGCGGCTTCCGATTATGTTCTAGCATGTCTAGGGACGCGTGTGGTGCCATCTAATGAGCACAACTAATGGAGTCATTCCATTTAGTCAAGTAGCAGCAGCTCATAGACAAGGTTTGAAAATTCGATTAACCCAAGGGTACTAAATACAGTCGGAGGGCTGTCAGGATTGCACAGTGGGGAAACAGGCAGTCAATATGATACAAGTTGATCGTGAGTGGGCGTTACCGCAGTACAAGGGCGACAGCTGCACTCATATACTATGGGTCCGAGTGCCTTGGTTAGCAGTGCGAATTGTGAGGTCAAGTGTATGGGTTGGTGGATGATTCCAGGGTCGGTGCTTGTGTTGATATTGTTATAGCGTGACGTTTGTTCTCACGGTACTTGCGTATGCACATACCATAGGTATCGGCCGTCGTACAGTGTGTGAGTGCTTTTGACCAAATAACACCAAATATCTGTAGGGGATGTGAAGTTATTATGCGGGCTTCATTAGTTTGTACAATCTGTATGTATGTTATACATACACAGTTGTGATACTTCAATCGGGAAATGTATTTATTCGAAAATGAGCTTACACTCTGTCTAACGGTGCCCCCGATGAACTCAGTGGTAGTATACTGAGATGCTTGTGTCTACATACACTCGAGACCAGACGTATCAATATATTCCGATGCACTTGCACGTATTTATACAGACCGATAAGTACGAACATGCTCGTGCACATATGCTAAAACACAATTCACAAATCCAGACATTTGCATATATATGTATGCAGACTATTCACACTCTCACTGCCCTCTGTCCGTGTGTGAATATATATCGCAGATGTGCAAGGGGCTAGAGAAGCACCCGCAATGACAATGAACGATCGCATTCGTCTGATAAAGGTATGAAACCCCTTAGCCGCTAGTAGCCTTAGTTTTCACTCAGTGCAAAGGTTTTGCATGAAATACCAGCCGCGTATACGGTTGAAGTTGTGCATATGGGAGTTCAAAATTGTTTCGGATTCGAATAAATCTTCAGCGTTGTTCCCACAACTTGCTATGTTTTCGACTTTGTCTGCTTTTTTGTTTGCGCTTGTGTTCGCATCGGGCTAACTCATTTTTTTCGTATCGTACAACTGCAATTTAACTTGTCCTTATACCTTTGTGTCTGTGTTTGTGTTCGTATAATTGTTGGTTTATGTGCGCTGCATCGCAACTTCGAGATTAGACCGCAAGCTGAGCGACAGTTAGTGTACTTGGCTATCATTTAGGGATGACAAATAGTGTACGTATTCTACATATCCATTTTCTTTTGCTGTTCTGGTTACGTACTGAGCTATCAATCTTGACACGGTGCCGTTTTTCGCTGTACTGCATGCCCATGTAGCACTTCAGAACTACGTGAAATACCGTATTAGTGAGAAGTGTGGAATTCGCTATGTACAAATGACTGCTGTCTTATTAGTCAATACTGTTGGGGTACACCTGACGCTATATGTTCTGGGAAATACTTGTCTTTGGGATGTGTTTTGAGTTCGTGGTAGGCCTTGATGCAACTCGCAATAAAGCTTGTATCTTAGTGCAATCTCGAGAATGTGTATATGTATTTTCAATTGGGTGTCTACCATTGATCTTCGGTATGTAATCAGGTTTATATGTTGGTTCTAGATTAGTGTGCATACGCAGGCTCCCTAATTATACGCGTCCAAATTAATAGCCATTCGTTCACCATACTCATTCGTATCACAGCCGCTTCTGAGATGGATGATCCCCTTATTCTTGGTCTACTATGCCGAGTATCTCATCAACCAGGGACTAGTATGTAATTGGAATACGCAGGTTGAATGGTCGTATACACATACAGCGTGCTAATATACATCTGCGCTGATAATGGGTAACCGTAACCAACATCATGTATCAATGTGATTTTTTTATCGTTGCCAATTGTGAGTGTCCCCCGCTTCTAGTGTTCTGCGCCAGCCTCCATGAGTTATGTTTTTCTGAGGGAACCACTTAAAGAATACTTAAATCGATGCCAGCTTTTATATCCATGTGTATATATATGCATACAGATGTATAAATATTCTTATATATGTACTTAACTATCTGTAAATATTTACAAAATTAATACACATATTTGCCAAATGTATGTCGATAAATATATATATCCATATCTCTGAGATTCGTCAGTGGCAGCGGTTATAAAATAGTATTCGTCGCGTCTTGCGGTCAAATTGTTGAATATCAACGTAACTATTTTTGCGCCGATTTTGTCGTATCATTTATACACATATCTTGTAAGATATACTTCTGAATTCACTGGTCAATTGACTTCGATGTTGTTTCAGTTTGCTTCCACGGAAGTGTGTTTGGGTCGTCCTGTTATGATATCATGAATTCTTCTAATATTCGCATCAAGTTGTGATTTGCTTTTCCCAGTTCGCCGTAAATGTTCCTTTTTAGTACCAAATATTCATATATTCGTAGTTCGGGTTTTTAATACTTCCGCCAATTCCACTTCGTTCGCAACACGGCGTTGTGGAACCGATTCTATCGATAAGCATTGACCAAAGTTTCTAGATGTACGTGCTCACATTCATCTCCACTTCAAGTATATCTCTTCTGTGTTCACATGTACATCACAATAAAAATATGTTCATATTTGAACTTAATGATTTCTATCCATCTGGATATTTATGCTAAATTAGAATTTTTCAGGGATGTTTAATTCGCACATACTATCAGATGTATGCGTGAATTTCAAATATTATATTAATGATCCTTTGCTATTCTCATACTGATGTCGACACTCGCACCTCGAATCGCTTCTATATAGCTGGAGCACGTGTGGTGGAACGGCATGTCCTTAACAAAACAACATCAGTACGTACTCTTTCAGGCAATGTATCAAATGGGTATGTAGTATTCCATAGTTGCGTGACAACTTTGATGTGGACACAGGCGTACCCTATCCGAGTGTACTTGATGCCTGATAGTGCTTTTGTTGTGCACAAAATTAATATTAGTGGTCGCTCTAAATTTCTTTGGATTGTCATTTTTATTACATTTGGCTCACACACGCAAGCTATTTCCTACTTCATGCCGTATAAATATTTATAGGTGTATTTATTTCTCGATCGTCCGTGCCCTGGATTACAATTGAGGTAAGATCAATACTGGGTACATGTGACGTGCTCGACGTGTTCGTTGCATAGTATGCATGTCCTATCTTCTATTGCTTAGATAACAGTTTCTGACAATTGGTCGTTCATTTCCACACATCATGATACAATTCAGTGACACACACGTTCTTTTGCGAGATACGGGTTAAGCAATATTTAAAATCTGACGTTAAGCGATTAGAGTAGCTGAGGCTTGTGTACATAGACAGTGTGGCGGTGTGGTACGCAAATTGATTGTGCCAAGTAAGTACGGGCTGTTGATTCGAGCCCTCCGTGAGGAGTGCACATCCTATCGTTTGTGCTCATTCAAACACTTCTTACAGACAGAGTAAACTCTAGTATATTATGATTTCTGTCTACATTCCTTTATATTTTGTATACCCAAATCCATCAGTTACCGTATTCTTGATATTCTACCCATCAATCCCATTACATGCATTGCACACAGCGAACCTGGATTCTGGCTGTGTTGCAGATCGTCAACTTCGGGCTGCTGCTGTTAGATAATATATACCATTTTGTACCCCACATCAGCTTGTACTGGTATGTTGTTACTAATTTAAATCGACATACTGACTGTCGTTGTAAATATGCATCTGGCCTGGATAGAAATCCCACCACATGTGCGAAACGATTCATGTACGCCAATCTTTGCCGATAACCGAATTCATTCACTGCCCTCTATGCGTTTTCCAAATATAAAAACAAACCCTAAAATACAGTATTCTCAATCTACATCTCTATTCCGGTCTGATCAGCCTCTGGATCTTCTATGAAGGGCTCCTGGGCGGGTCTGCATACGTGAACTCGTTTTACAGCATTACCAACACCATAGACCCGCTGTACCGCGAGTTTGCACTGGGCATCACTAGTGTTGCCGACACCTTTGGTATCACGTGCGCGGCGTTGTCGTCTATTGCACTGAATCACTGGTTAGGTCCACTGGCTGCGCCAAGGAGGCGGTAGCATAGCCAGTACACAGTGGGTGCTCTGTTAATTAGTGTGTGTGTTTACTCTCATGTGTAGCAGCAGTACATCACATCTCATGCGTTGATATTCAAGTTGACCCATTCTATTTATTTGCGTGCACACACGGTCGGAAACTCGTGGACTAGGGCCAGACTGTTGTGAAGTTCAAGTGGCGAATCCTTCGAAGCTGCGGCGCTTTCGATGAGCACAGAGCACATACACAATCGCAATCATCTTAGCGCGTATTAACAAAGAAAACACTCCCCACACACTCCTGTGCACACACATACATATATGATTTGGCATGCATGTCATGTCCAAGGTGTATAGTCAGACACGCCCCATCAAAGACGCAGCTGCATGTGGTTGTAGGATCACATGCGTCGCGATAGTAGGAACATTAAGCTCAATCGGACACCCGTGATTGTGCCTTCCTGATCAATGTGTAAACCCCCGAAACATGAATGGGTCACCTGCGCGAGGACAACTCAGCAAATATAGACTAGGAAGCGTCGAATATTCCGGAATGTGAGTCTACGTGTATGAGCATATCACTTAAGTAGCCGTGTGGTGTGCATGCTATACCTTTAAATGGTTTCCCAACGGATGAGAGATGCATGCAAGATACCAGTTCATGTATGTACTCACTGGTGCGCGCATCTCCCCATAGTACAAAGTACTCAGTCTACTTCACAAGTCGACAGTTAGGTCACACGAAGATCGAGCCTGGCACTGGACTTTAACCCCACGCGCGTTGTACGTACAGATGAGAGTTTTGCAGGTGTGTTCTTGGGGTGTAGGGCACGTAGTAACACTTAGCTGGTTCATGACATACTGTGGCATCCGTATCAGCCCACCGCAATCGTACCATCGGTGCTACCATGATGGCAAGGGGAATACTATTTGTATATAGTATTTGGCGACCGTGGGTAACATCTGGACTAATTTGAGCTTAACTCAGATTTGCTCTACAGCTAATAAAACCCTCGCAAATAAAACGACTGGCATTTGTACTACAGACACGCATAATAGTCATGTCTACAACAAATCAAAGACCGATGGGAAGGTATATATATATT